CTGAATCGAAGTTTGTGTGAGTGAGAGGCTGACATGGTTCGACAAATTGTTCTTCACTGCAAAAAATGGTTTCTCTTTCAATCAGGAGTTCGCTAGCCTCGGCCACACTATTGCTAAGGGTAATCCTTGTATTGGCCTCCGAAACTTCAGGTTGAAGGTTAGATGATTCTATGACATCTGAAACTGTCATTACAGACTTACAGGAATTCTTTCCATGCTTTAGATTATTTCCAAGGAGTGTTGTAGATATTTCAGAATCTCCAAAAGTTGTGATCGCGTTGCCGTCGTTCTCCGCTTGTTTTGATCCTTTGGTTGTTGGTGTTGAACCGGGCAAGTGAGCCACTGCTCGATCAAGCTTATCCACATCATCTTCGACTTCTTTAGCTTCTTTTTCAAAAAAAGGTGGGATGTAGGGAGAGGCCGGGTGTTGAATCGTTGCAGCAGAGCCGGAGCGAGAGTAGAGTGGCGTCGAGGCTGAAATCGCGTTGGAGCGCGGGAGTGGTCAGGCTGGATTTAGGCGCGGTCCTCTTCGGAGGCAGAGGAAGTTGTGCGACCGGCAATGGCGGAGTGGTAGCGGCAAGATCGGGTTGAATGTCGGGTCTAGGAATGCCATCATGCGGGTTTGAGAGTTCTGGCAGACGGAAGACGCGGGTGACAGAAGGATTTGGGGAGTTTCCCACTCCCGAAGATGTGTCTATTGGAGCGGAATCGAGCTGGAGGAAATCAAGAATGCGGGTTTGTTTGCTAGGCGAAGCATAGGGAATTTGCGAATATGGCAGAGGATGTTGGAACGGAGGAGAATCCCAAATCTGGTATTGAAGCGAAGGGGGGTCGCGCCAGCGGAGAGGAAGCTCGAGTGGCGGATACTCTGGCGGCGGGTCACGCCATCAAAGAGGGAGTTCGAGCGGAGGGTAGTCATCAACCATAATCGGTTGATTTCAGATCCCTTTGTGGGAAGCGGAGTAGAAGAGGGAAGGCGAAGACGAATATCTCGGTATGGTTGCCAACGACATTTGCATCTTCTTTATTGCTCGAAGGTTTTTGTCTACCCGATCGACTGATTCATTCGCTTGAGCTTGAAAGAAGGCGATCCGGCTTCGAACATCGTCGACAGCCCACCTTCCTCGGCGTCGATCATCGTCGACCGCCAATCTTATTCTGCGGCTTTGATCGTCGTCGACAGCCGACCTTCTTATGCAGTTCATCGATCTTCGCAAGCTTCAGGCTCTGATACAACTGATGTAGTGGATCGTCGGAAGAATCAACCTGCAAGAAGGATTTCGATCCCAATCCAGGGAAGAAGGAAAACACAAAGCTTCAAAGCTTTAAAAGAGAGTAATATTCATTCAATGATCCTTTCCTTTAACAATACTTGATATTTATAAAGCTAAAAGAACATTTTAGAGGCTAGTAATTACAAACTTAGATAACATATTCCTAAAGCTGCATTTAGTTAAGATGTTCCTACATCATATATACTTTGATAATTTTATTTTTTATATAAAATTATATTGTTATTTATCAATACATCTTATTCTCCTTCCTTTTTTTATTTATTAGAAAGTCCCATCAAATTTTGGACAGCATATAAATTCGCAATGATTCGTTTAAAAAAATATAATGAATAAGTGTACTTTATTATGAAAAGATAAAGATTTCATGTGCTTATTTTTGTGAGGGGGTCGATCCATTAGGGGCAAGTGGTCAATTGCATCAAAACAAAAATGTTATGATAATTTGGGTCATCCTGCTTGAGTTGCATGTAAGAAGTTCTAACTTTTAAGAATTAACAAGTCACATTTATTTTATTTTATTTTTAATTACAACTAAATAATAATAAATTAATAAAATTAACATATTTTTAAAAAATTTGTCCGATCGTTATGAGTCTTGATTTATTATTTTGTATTATAAAATCTCATAAATAAATTAAAGACGATCGAAACTTTGATTTCAACAAATTTATAATCAAGTTGAGCATAACGATTACACAAATCCGACGAAACAAAAAAAATAATGCAATATCAATCCAAATGAGTCTGAATCAAGCGCTTGAAGTATAGATAGAAATTTTGGGATATTAATTAAATGAACAACTAAAGGACTCCAAATATTGCATATTCTTAGTCAAATCAAATGGCTCGACGAGAAGAAAAATAAAAAGCCCAATATCAACAACAATAAATTCAATATAGAGGCTTAATCAGGCTTTTTATAGATCAATTCAATCAAAGATGTGTTTATGAATTTTAATTTCTCTCATCCCTTAATGTTAGAAGGTTCAATCCATATCAATATTAGAATCTTAATATCTTTCACAAACTTTATTAATTTATTAATCTTAATACCAACAAGTTAATATATTTACATAAATCAAAATCAAATCATTGACAATTTCACCAAAAAGAAAGATGCATGCTAAGCAAAATTTTATTGTTAATTTTAGTATTCAAGTGAGAATTTAGGCTTTATTTGGGATCATTTTTTTACTGCTTCTTAAAACAGCTTCATAATAGAAATTTTTTAAAAAATTGTTCTGTATGATTGTTTGAAAATTTTGGCCTTTCACAAACATGGCTGTAAACGAATTTAGTCGAGCCAAACATGTAGTTATTCATGTTTGAGCTCATTTATTGTTGGCTTGCCCAAATTTTATTCTAGTTTGATTCAAATTTTTTTATTTGTGTTTAAGCCTGTCCATTTAAATTGGTAAATGTTCAAGTTTGATTTTTGTTCGGCTCATATCTGATTTATCTCAGACTTATTGAGCTTTAAATGAGCTGCTCGTATAAAATAATGAACGTGCATTATCGAGTTATTTATGAGCTTTATTTTTAAGAACTTTATGCAACAAATCAAACTCTTAATCATCAAGATATTGCTCGCTTTGACCTAATGGCCTTGCGATTTTGTCCCCTTAGTGTAACTTCCCAAGAAGTCACCTATCTTAAGAATGCTTTGATACAAATATGCGTAACTTTGAAGTTTCTAATTAAATTCTAACAATTACAACAAAAGAGATCTCAAAGGTTAAAAGTTTAGTATTATTTTCTTATGGGATTTCAAAGTTCATCACCTTAACAAATGAGCCTTATCGAGGCTTTGTTTAAGACGGCTTTCTTACTGCGTTAAGAAGCAGCAAGAAAGTCATCTCAAACGGAGCCTAAGTCTACTAATGAATAATTCTATGGAGCTCATTAACAAACCTATACGGTGAGCTTTCTTGAGCACATAAATGAGCCAAACCATGGAGCATTTTCAAGCTTAGAAACGAGTAGCTTATCGAGTTAAGAAAATGATACTTTTAATTTCCGAACTTCTTAATCAATGCTCAAAACAAACAATCTAACAAACTTGAACAACTACCTCTTGAGCATGAAGAAATTCAATATAGTAAAATAATTTAACATAAAAAAGAATTTATATATTTTTATAATATAAAAATAATTTATTATAGTAAATTATAATATAATAATATTAATTTAATATATATTTATGATTTCTCTAATTAATAAATATTAATATTCAAATGATATTAGTAATTATTTTTTTATAATGAGATTTAATTAAGCCCCATATAGAACTGCTTGAACTTTATTTTTATTGAGCTTCTTCATCAGCTTATTTATGATTATAGATAAGTCGAAAAAATCATTATTTAACTTTATTTGATTATTTAATCAACGATTATGAGTTAGGCTTGTTGAATCTTTGGTTCGTTTGCAGCTCCATTCATCAATGACTCCTTTGCAGTGACGATCAAGGTAAACACTAGCTTGGGGCTCTTTGGCAACAAGCAGGATTTCATAAATCTTGTAAATTCAAGCTTAGTAAATTTTGAATGTGTTAAATCTTAAAAATTGTAAATCCTAAGTATGTTAAATCTTAAAAATTGCTTGGCAAGAGAACTTTTAAATCCGATTGAAGTCTATAAAACAGTTTGAGGAAATTCAGGATTTAAAGAGGTTAGTTTATCAAAAATCAAATTTAATTTGTATTTGAAATAATAATTACAAATTAATTTCATTTTTAATAAATGTCAATAAATTATATTTATAAATGATATAATTAGAGGTTGGTTTAATGATTAACTTATTTAAATAACTATTTAAGTACTACTTAAATAATTGTTTAAATAATTAATAGTATACTCAGATATTAAAAATTATTTAAGTATTATATTACTTCTAATTAATTATTATTTCAGGTATTTCTTGTTAATTATAATATTAATGATTTAATTACTTATACTTGATTCTTTAATTAATATTTTACATAACTAATTATTTGATTATTAAGTAAAATGCTAATTATTTAAGTATTTTTAAATATAATTTAATATTTAATTATATCATCAATATATATAGTTTTATATTATATTAATTAAATTAATTTCTAATATAAATGTAGGGTTTTCTTTTCAACTACTCCCTTTCTTCGTCGTTGTACTTCTCCTCGCGGCCATTTCTTCGTCACTTCTTCGCCTCGTTCGACGACGTCAGATTGGAAATCACAACGGGAGCTCGCTCGCTGCGAAGGTAACCATCTTTCTCCACAATAAGGCCGCCGTGCGAGAAGCATTCGCTCGCAAGTGCATAAATCTCGTAGTTCGTATATCCCTTAAATCCGTAAGTGCGGTATTTACGATCGATTCGGATTTACTGCTCGCTCTTAAAACGTTTGACAGGGTTTACGAACTATAAATTTAAAAATAAATTTATAATTAAAAATAAAAATTAATGTGTTATAAATTTAATAACATATTAAGTACAAATTACTCATTAATTATTATTTACACTATTAATTAAATATTTAATAATACAAACATATTAAGTTATATTAATTAAGCTAATTCTATTAATATTTAATTACTAATTGTACAATTAAGTTAAATTAGATAATAAATTTATGCACTAATTATACAATTAATTATTTTACTTATTTATTAATATTTTATATTAATTAAGTTAATAAATAATAACTTAGAGGCGTCTAGGTTTGCCTTTCATCTTCTCTTTTAGTCGTTGCTGTTAGGCTTCGTTGCTTCGCAGGAGGTTGTTGCTGTTAGGCTTCGTTGCTTCGCAGGAGGTGTAGAGATTGCATGCGTCGCTTCTTCGTTTCCTTCGTGACTGTTCAACTTCGCTCCTTCGACGTCTGTCCCTTCCCGTCGGATCGGAAATTTCTACATTTTGATCGGAAGCAAGAACGGGAGCTCGCTGGCTGTGAAGGTAACTTTCTCCCTTTGGCGCGCTTCTTCCGATAAATCCCGTCGGATTTAATAAATCCGGCTACCCCTCGGATTTATTAAATCCCGGATTTAAGCCCTAAATCCGTAAATCCGGGATTTGCCGAATCCCGGGATTTAACGCCCGCACAAAAACTGTTTGGCTGGATTTAGCGTAAATCCGACTTAAATCCCGCTGTAAATCCGATACCAAACAGCCCCGAAGGTTGTTGGCATATTGCGGCAAAGATCGATAGCCATTCCAAGTCCGAGTTCTACTGGTCCTGTAAGCTTTCGTGCTCCACTCGGTCCCCATCTTTACAGTTTCCTTCACTTGTTGGCAAGCTCTGCACAACGTTGGCACCGTCTGTCATTGCTTCCTTTTGTTGGATCAGTGGAGTCTATAGCTTCCTTTTTTCTTCGTATAAGTGCGATGGCAGGACTGGTGAGCGTGTGCTGTGCGCTCGTCGGTACCTATTTTCCTCTTTTTTGAGTCTAGTACTTGTTCGTATTTTATTAAATGCTTGAATTTCTTTTGTAGCGTTCATTCCACTTTTAGGGGCTACTTAGCAACTTGTAGGATTTAGCAAATCCTATAAATCCAGATTTAGAAAATCCTAGGTATGTTTAATCCTGAAATCTGTTTGGTATTATAATTGTTAAATCCTATTCAATCTTATGAAACTATTTGGTAACCTAATCCAAGATTTAGGATGGTTGATTCATTTAAAAATAAAATTTAATGTGTTTTGAATTTAATTTGCGTGTTAAGTACGAGTTGCTTAAATTTATGTACAAAACATCGCTTATAGTTTTGGAATTTAAGATAAAGCTGCAAAAATTAAAAAATAAAGTAAATCATTATTCTAGAATTATATGAGAGCATTAAAGAATAATAACAAAAATATTTTTAAGAGTAAAATTTTAGATCTTAAGATATTGTCTGTGCAGGAAGCTAATGTCATATGAGAAAAAATAACTAGTGATATTAAGAATGTTGAAAAAGATGTGCTTGGAGTATCAAAGGAAAAAACTACTAATAGTAAAAATAGTTGGTGGTTGAATGAAAAACTGCAAAAAAAGATATAAAATAAAAAGATTTGTTATAAAAATTAGTGTAACTGTAAAAATTCTGATAATTGAGAAACACGTAAGGATTCTAAGAAAGTAATTTGCAACGTGAAGATTTTAGCTTTTAATGATTTATATAATAGATTGAATACTAAGAATGACGAAAGATATATATATATATATATATATGAGTTAGCTAAACAAAGAGATAAGAGTAGTAATGATTCAGTTCAAGTGAAATGTATTAAGGATGAATATCAACAAATGCTTTTATATTAGAAAAGAATATTCAACAAAGGTGGATGAGATATTTTACTAAAATTTTAAATGAAGATTATGAGATTGCGATTGACTTTAGTGACCTTAGCACCTTTAATGACCAAAAAACAATAAATTTGGATTTATGTCGGGTGCAGATTTACAACGTCTATTTTTTTTTCTATTTTGCAGGATTTAGCGTAAATTCAGCATAAATCCTAATTAAAATCGGCTACCAAACATCCCCCTATTGTTTGGCAACAATTAGGATTTAATAAATTCGATAAATTCGTATTTATCAAATCTTCAGGGTGTTAAATTTTGAAAACTGCTTGGCAAAAGAGATATTAAATCCTATGAAATTATTTGACAACGTAACTCAGGATTTAAAGCCCAAATAATAAGGCATGTGATGCATGTTAAATACTAAATTGAAAATTAGTTTTGTAAAGACTGTATACTTCTAAATCAACCTTGAGCATTTATCCCTATAAATATTGATTTTGATGAGGTTGCAAGACTTCTTAATCAAACATGAAAAATCATATTTCACACAACTAAAATGATAGTTTGTGTAATAAGTGTCTAAAATATGTTCATGGTCTATTAAGAAGTGGTTAAGAAGTATTTGAAAGTATCGTTAGTTTTTTTTATTGTGCCATAATCACACATTGTTGTCCTTTTTGCTTTTGATGTTTAATTCATGTTAGTTATGTATGATGTGTAAGATGGTGAAACGACTCTCTAGAAAAGTTTGTGCTTGATTTCACCTCATTTATGTCCTTTTTAAAATTTTATTAATTCATGTTATGGTACGAGATAAAATGGAATATTACCAAATAATATAGGGGTTGTTTGTTTGTAAGCATTAAGAATATATTGATTTTCAAAATGTAGAGTAAAATAAATGTTGTTTATTCAACAAACTCAAATTTTATTGATAGCTAGTAAAGTAAATGCAAATAACTTATTTTTCTTGTTTGTTTCAGTGTAAAGTGCAAAGAATGAAGTTTCATCATATACATTGGGAAGATTACTTGCTCGGAACTTTATATAAAACTTTATCACTATATATAAATGAATACTTTTCTCAAAATAAAAAAATAGTAAGTGCTAACATCCATATCATTAATAACCAAAAGTTTCAATTATAAATAAAAGTTATAGTGACTTCGACATTAGAGAAACATAAATTTATAGAAAAGTAGAAGAATTACTTTAAATTTTATTATATACAAAGTGTGAAGGTATATATGAATTTATCCATAAGTCTTACAATGGAAATATTTATAAAAAAGAAAAAAAGTTCGCAAGAGGTGCTGATAGTTAGAAGAGGAACAAGAGGCACACATATTGTAATCTAAGATTCATAAGAGGATTGATCTAAGAGTTAAAACCCTTTATCCATTTACTTGAAGATTCGTACTAAGATTGGTTAACTTTTGGGTCCCATGATTATTTAATCTTCCATTCACCCGAACCCGACCCGTTTCGGGTTCGGGTTGACCCTAACCCGAAATTTTCGGGTCGGGTTCGGGTCGGGTTTTCGGGTCGTGTCAAATATTGACACCCCTAGGTTTAAGAATCCTTTAGTAAGTTAATTTCCTATTTTCATATAAAGAGTGCAAATCAGCTCAAATTTTTGTTTTTCTTTTCTGAAATGTCTATTTATCTCTACATGCTTGGTACAATTATGAATTATCAGCAATGCTGATAACAAATTTAAAATCACATTATATCTTTATTGGCCATTCTCATTTTCGTTTAAATTTTTTAAAATGATTTTAATCAACAAAAGCTTGTAGATTCATTGGGCAATAACTCTAAATTTAGATTCAACACTACATTTTGAAATAACATATTTTTTGCTCTATGTTAATGAGATTTCCTCTAAAAAATATACAATATTCAATTTTGGATCTTTTGCTCACTGTTGATCATGAATAGTTTGCATCATTATACCTTTCAATATATAAAACATCATCCTTTTTATAAAGAATTTCTTTACTAGGGCTTGATTTAATGCATCTAAGAATTTATAACTAGCTTGAAGGTGGCTCTTTGGGTTTGTACATGAATTGACTGATGAGACTCAATGCAAATGCAATGCTTGGATGGTTGTGAGATAAATAGACATTTTTTCCCCACTAATTTTTGATATCATCATATTTTATTTCTGTTACTTCTACGTCTTCATCCAATTTTGTCATGCTTTTGTCGAGGTTTAATGAGATTTGCAATTAGTTATTTTTGTTTCTTTTAGTAGTTTGATGATATGAACTCTTTGATCTCAAATTCTCCAGCAAGTTTTTTTCTTGAGAGATTTCTTTTCTCTAATATTATGACTTGTGACTGTTATAACATCAACATATATGATACAAATTGAGATTTTATTATATGTAGATTGTTTTATGAAGAGGGCATGCTCTTTTTTCTTTGTTTGCATTTAGCTTCATTCATGACTTTTGTGAATATGCCAAACTATACTCTCATAGATTGTCTAATGATATACAATGCATTTTTTAATTTACATACATATTTCCTTGTGTTGTCTCCTATTTTTAAGAATAAAGGTAGTGCATAAGAGTGTACGAATTATAATAGATTAATTAAGTTTGTGTCATACATTAAAACTATGGGAGAGAGTTATTGAGCATAGGTTACGATGTGATACTAATGTTTTTCAAAATTAATTTGGGTTTATGCCAGGTAGGTCTACTTTGGAAGCTATATATTTATTTAGAGGTTTGATGGAGAAGTATAGAGAGAATAAAGAGGATATGCATATGATATTTATTGATTTAGAGAAAACATATGGTAAATTCCAAGAGGTGCTCTGGAGTGTTCTAGAAAAAAAGGAGTTAATAATGCTTATATTTAAGTCATGAAGGATATGTATGATGATCTGTTACTTGTGTGCAAACACAAGGTGGCTTATTTCCTATTTCAGTTGAATTATATCAAGGATCAACTTTAAGCCCATATATTTTTGCCTTAGTCATGGATGTTCTTACCACACATTTGCAAGAGGATGTAACCTGGTGTATGCCTTAGTCATGGATATTCTTTTTGCCTTAGTCATGGAATTGGAGGTCAATCTTAGAGTCTTAAGGTTTTAATTTGAGTAGATCTAAAACAGAATACAATAACAACAACAACAACAACATCAAGCCTTTATCCCACTACGTGGGGTCGGCTACATGAATCCTTTTTCTCCATTGTGTCCTATTAAAGGTCAAATTCTCGTTTAAATCTAATAAAGAAAGGTTATTCATAATATTTTCTAACCAAGTCTTTTTAGGTCTACCCCTACCTTTCTTAACACAAGTCAAATCTAATACCTCTACTCTCCTAACCAGGTCATCAGAAGGCCGCTATTTTATGTGACCAAACCATCTAAGGCCACTCTCTCTAATCTTATCTTCTACTGGAGCTACTCCAACCTTTTCACGTATATGCTCATTCGTATCCTATCTCTAAGGGTAAAGCCACTCATCCACCTAAGCATCCTCATCTCTGCCACACTTAACAAAGAATTATGCTTCTCTTTTAATGGCCAACATTCGGCACAATAAAGCATTGCAGGCCTCACTACCATCTTATAGAATTTTCCCTTAAGTTTGAGGGGTACATTTCTATCACATAACAAGCCCGATGCATTCCTCCACTTCAACCATCCAACTTGAATTCTACTGATAATATCCCCATCTATTTCACCATCACTCTGAAAAATAGATCCAAGATATCTAAAATTTACTCTTATTAATGACTTGATGGCCCAAAGTCAACAATCCCCTCACTAGTCCTAATATACTAAATTAACTCCATTATTGCTTTTTGATTATTAAAGAAACTTTAGTCCTCTAATGTTTACCTCCATAATTCAAGTTTATTTCAACTCCTCCTGTCTTATCGAACAAGAAGAATATCATCAGCAAAAACATACATCAAGGTACATCCTCTTGCAAATGTCTAGTGAGAATGTATTTTCGTTGTAATTTTGTTTTGGGGGGGGTTTGTATCTTTGGGCGATTAAGTTATTAATAAGAGTATACATTTTAGATATCTTGGGTGAGGGTCTATTATTCAAAGTGATAGCGAAGTAAATGAAAATATTATTAGTAGAATTCAAGTTTGATGGTTGAAGTGGAGAAATATGTCGCTTGTTTGTGCTGTTGATAAAATACCTCTGCAACTTAAGGAAACATTCTATAATGGTGGTGGAACCTGCAATGGTTTTGGTGTAGAATTAATTGGCCTTTAAAGAGAAGCATAAAATTAAGTTAAGTGTTGTAAATATGAGGATGCTCAAGTGGATGAGTGGCTTCACTCATAGAGACAAAATGCGAAACGAGTATATATGTGAAAGTTTTGAAGTAGCTCTAGTGGCAGATAAGATTAGAGGAGCCGCCTTAGATGGTTTGGACATAAAATGCAGACCTTCCGATGACCCTGTTAGGAGAGTAAATGTATTGGATTGGGCCTATATTAAGAAATGTAAAGGTAAACCTAAAAAGATTTGACTAGAAAATATTAAAAATGACATTAAATTTATTAAATTTAAATGAGAATTTGACTCTTAACATATCACAATAGAGAAAAAAGATTCATGTAGCCAACCTCGCGTAGTGGGATAAAGGCTTGATGTTGTTGTATACTTATTTCTTTGTGAACGAACTATAAAATTTGGGTGGTGTATCCATATAAATTTCTTCAACATCCTCATGTAGAAGGCATTATTTACATCATACTGGTGCATGAACAATTATAATTGATTTTAATAGAAATTAAGATGCATATTGTATTCATTTTTGTAACAAGAGAAAACGAGAGCAAAAATTTCATGATAGTCAATTCTATAGGATTAAGTATATCGTTTAGCTACCACTCATTTTATCTCGTTTTAGGCTTCAATACGCTTTATATTCTACAGAAAAACAAATTATACTGTTTCTTTCTCTTTTGGTAGTTAACATTTTCTAAACTATAATTGTTTTTACAGAACATATATATCTTCTCTCATGATGTTCTTTCCAAGTGTCTCAAATAGAGTTTGTGGCATTATAATAGAATTAGACTTGATATTTGCAAGGAAGACTTTATGGGCAGGAGAAAAATTTTAGAAAGATATGTACTAGAGATTAGATTTATAGTGAAATGTGTAATGATGAGTTGATTATTATTACTTAAAAAATGGTTTTGAGTTTTGAGCTTTTTGGAGATTTTTGCTGAGCTTATTCCTTATTGTATAGATTTTAAGGGATATAGTGTCTGGATTTTTTAGAATTTGTATTGTAGGAATGTCAAGATAAAGGTAGATGTTTTATTAAACTTATCTTTTAGTTGAGAGTTCTCCCCTTAAATATCAATTTTTATGATCAAGTTTACTCTTATATTGTTTGTTAATGCAGATTTAGGAAATGCACCTAAAGATTTTTGGATCGGAAGTTGTTTGTGGAAAAGAATTTTGCTATATATTTTATAGCTCCTTTAAAGCCAATCACCCTTGAGTGTACTACATTGATTAGGTATGTATTGTCTTGATTGCTCTTCCCTAGTATCTTTAACCTTGTAGTTGTGGTCTTCAATAATTTTATGAATTGATAGAAGATTTACTGCAATATGAGGAATATTGTTATGCTTTTTGATGAATTAAGAAGGTTGGAGCACATTTGGAGTAGGTGTGAACTTGTTAAGAGAAGAAATGACAAGTGAGAAGAAACTTATTTTCATTTTCTGAAAAAATAATTACAACTTTTTGGAGCTATGTATAGGACTTTACATAACTGGTTTAATGGGGTTAATAGGGTGAGGTCGACTGCTATTTAGAAAACAGAAAATAAAATAAGAAAAAGGTTCAAGTGGGTTTGGTATGGTTCAGTTTTTCCTGGACCATGATAAACCATGGGCTGATGCCTGAACCTACAGATGTTGGGCCGAAAGCTTTTGTTGTGTTGAGGATAAGCTATTGTGGTTTGCTGATTTTCTGCAGCTGATTGTGTATGTTTTGTAAATGTTTCTTCCTTCCTCTTCGGTGATATACTATAACATTTGTAGTGTTGCCTTTAGCTTTTTCTTTTGAGTTTTTGATCCATTCTTCAACTTGTTTATGTATTATGTCTGTATATAAGGGAATATATTGTTGCCTAACAGTCCCGTCCCCATAAAGACAAATATTATCCTCAAGGTTAAGAGATGTAAAAGCAATAGAGAAGGCTAAAAAATTCTCCCAACTGGAGTCTTTCAGAGTAGTTAAAAGTACCCATTTGTGAGATTGTCCACAAAGTTAAATAATCCGGGATGCTAAAATTGCACTTGGTAGACTTAATGGCTGGTTTTTGTGAGTTAAAATCGGTAGACGTGAAAGCACAAAGATATTGTTCTATGTGCGTCTATTGAGTACCTTGTTATGGCCATCTGCTGAGGATGATAAACAATGCTATAATGGAATGTTGTATCACTTAAAGAAAAAAGGCGAAGCCAAAAATTGCTTAAAAATGCTTACCTATTTGATACTATTATTTTGGAGAGATGACCAATGACAATTAGAATAAAAGTGTAACATTGTGAATTTGGTAGATCCGTAATGAAATCCATAGACAAATCATCCCAAATTTGAGATGGTACAGAATGAGGAGAAAGGAGGCTAGCGGGTGCCATGGTAAAAGACTTGTTTTCCTGACAAATGAGACATTTACAGACAAATTTAAGATCTTTATGGAGTCCCGGCCAGTCAAAACTTGCAGTGAGCCTTTTTATACTTTCCAGGGTACTGCTGTGACTTGCAAAAGGTTTAAAGTGAAATTAAGTAAGTAAAGAATTTTTGAGAGCGATGCTTACTAATATAAATGTGGTTTTTAAAATAGAGAAGGTTATCCTTGATTTGATAATCCGTGGCGGATAATTTACCCTTTTCCAGTTATGAAATTTTGTCTTAGGGCAATGATGTTGAGTGCTAAATTTTGAGTCATAACTAAAACAAAGTCCTTTTTCACGACAAAATTGAATTTTCATAGGGTATAGCTTGTGGATAGGAAGGGAGGTGTTTGGCCAAGAGATATGGAGGGTTGGGGTGTGAGTTTTTGTTGGTGGTAGTGGGAAGAATTGTTTTCCTCCAATGTGTGGAGGGAAGTGCAAGGAAATCTTGAATTTTTGATTTGAACTAATGGATGAAGGGGCGGAGTCGAACGAGAGGGATGGAGTTGATCGAATTGTTGGAGGAAGCAGTGGACTCGAATGAGACAGACAGATGAACAAGATGGAGTGGGCGAACGAACAAGGGCACCAATTTTTTATGCTTCTTGATGAATTAGGAAGGTTGGGGCACCTTTGGAGTTGGTGCGAACTCCTTAACAGAAGAAATGAAATGAAATGAGAAGTGACAAGAAACATATTTTCATTTCCTGAAAAATAATTATATATATATATGTCGTATTGATTCACGTAAAGGATAAGCCTAGTAAAGTAGACCACGCTGTCTGGGTATCAAAAAAACATTAGTCACCCGGTTTAGGATTTCAGCACAAGTCATGCCAAAGGATGAATGAATATAGCGCCAGCAAAAGCCAAGTTATAGGCCTGGAACGAGCGCTACAGGAGAGTATCTCCAAAAAGTCTCACTTCAAAAAATAGAATGATTGGTTACAGCCATATTAACAGAAACTAGAGAATACATAGCCATGTAAGCCTGCCAACTTACTCCAAAACGTATCCAAATAGCCAGTGGAACTCCAAAGCATGCCCAAATTGCTGTAGGAACCACAGGATGTGAACTCAGCAACTGAACTGATATGTCCAATCACTTAAATCAAACCAAACGATAAGTTACCTTGACCAAAGAACAATAATTAGAGAGAGAGAGCATATCCCATTCTCATAGGCATCATCACCTACACGTTCAAAATTCCTTAACTGGAGAAATTACAATATAAAATCAAATTGAAAAATTGAAATTACTTAAGCTTAAATTGATCATTTATTTGCTCAACGTTTCTATGTATTTTAGCACAAACACAAAGATCCCCATTGCTACTGCTGAGAGTATGGTTGATTGGTCTTATGTTTTCTTTTCAGGTTAGATTATTATTAAAAATTGCTATGTGCACTTTCTAAAAAGTAAATTTGTTAAAATGCATTGTGTAAAAATTGTCTTAAGTTTTTGCACAACGGTATACACCCACTTTGCGGTAGGCAATCTCGTTGTAAAGCAGGCAAAAAATACTAAACCAAACGGGCTTAAGGTATTGTTCTGAGGAAGAGTTAATAGGGAATACAAAGGTGGAAATTCTTACCAAATTCTAAGAAAATTAGCGTCAAAATCCCCACAAAATGTCTGTTGAGGATTGCCCTTGGAGATAAGTAGTAAGCAAGAGTCCTCATCACGTCCTAGCTGAGTTTGGCAATTTGTCACAAAGATTTGCTAGATTTGAAATACACTGAATTTTAAGATTTGAATAATTAGATATGTAATGCTATATGTGTACTTATTCAATAATATTTATTTCTTTTCTTCTGCCCTAAGTTGTTGCTGGCCCAATCATAAAATGCAGTAATTTTTAATTGTTTGTCCTTCTTTTTTCTTGAATGACTTATTAGGTCTTCATTGCAGGCATGTCTGCGTCTGTCGCATAAATTGCTATATAAAGAGGATCTATTTATTATTGTACTGTCTCTAACTTAATTGGTATTCAGTAATGTAATCTTTTGATGTGTTGGTTGTTTGCATTTTTCAGAATTGTTTGTGAAGAAGCACACTTCAAATAGGTGCAAAAAGTACACGTGAAACTCACTCGCAAACTTGCCAACACAACTTCTTCAAAGCTGCCTCCTTTTGGACTTTTGGGTCACGTATCGCGCAGCTTCACCAATTTTTAAGAGAATAATCACATAATTTTTTTTATCCCTATCAGCCTCTAGGGCAATGCACCAATTCAAGAGCAAGGTGAGGGAATTAGGTTATTTGACTCAGTATAAAGCCTTCTTTTCCTCTTCTTGGGGATTAAGCTCAGCTGGTCTTTACCCAGAAAGCAGTAGGAGATTCGAGCCTCTAAAACGGGTACTGCTTCTGTAATTTTGATTCTGTAGTTTCTGCTTATTTTTATTACATTTCTTTAATTTTTTGAAGTGGTGCGTTGACCTCTTCTTTTTTCTTTTGTCATCAGAACTTAATTATTTAAGGATCCAATAATTGCAGGTGGTAGTGATCTCTGGTTATGGAAGTTGTTGTACTTCTACCACAAGAAGGATTGTAAAGGTGGGTACATAAAACTTGTGCGGTGTATTTGTGCTAGTTCTCCGCTCCTAATTCCTTGTCCCTGTTTTCTTTTGCTGTAGGATATAACGAAGGCAGAAGGTCAGTTTTCTTTATCATTCTTATAACTCTCCTTATCATATATGTTTCAATGTACACATTTTCTTTCTTCTGTCAATCATTTTTGAAATAGCCATAAATTTTTCCTAACAAAATTATAGCAAACGCACTTTCTTACTTTTTTTTTTTTAATTTTTATTTTGCCACTCCATAGGTGTCCTTGTGTGATCATAATATCATATAATTTGTTTTTCATTATTTGATTTTTTTCTTGAGCTGTATTAATTCCATAATGTGCTTAGTGAGTTATCATATAATATCTGTCCTTTTATGATCTGGGACGTATTTTCTTACTTACCGTATTTCTTTTTTTCTATGGTTTTGAAGTATCTGAGGATGGCAATAATATCTATTTATTTTATGCAGAAAACACATGAAAGGACTGCATTCAACTCTACCTCTATCATAAAGTTAATATTGAAATCAGCTATGCAGCAGCAGATGAAGTTAAATAATACAGCTAAAATTCTAAATTCAATTGACACCAAAGAAAACAAGAGATAATTGGATTAAATATGCTAAACTGCATCATAGTCCTTTGATCAACTAAGCAAATACGCACATGCATGTTGGTGGGCTATTCAGTGTTTACATCTGTCATGACCAAGCCTGGGGGCTTGGATACCGTGGTTGAAACAGATGCTCAGATGGAGTTCTCTCTCATTAACAACCTTTAATATATATCAAAAGAGCTACTAATTCATAGTATTCTTTCAAATCCAAAAATATAAAAATTTTAAAGTAAATACCTTTCTCTTATAGTGCAACATTGATAATATGCAAACTCCCTTCTCCCACTTATTAATTATTAAGCTTTTGCCCCAAAAATAATAACTACTCGGACAAGTCATTAACAAAATTCAGTTGGTACATCATATCTTTAAATTATAGTAATAAAAGGAATTTATAAGGCAACATGTTTGCTTGTTAAAATAAATAAATCAATATAAAGTTGTTTGGCAATTAATTCTATTTGAATATGACTGTTGACGTCCACTCAAAATAGAGAGAGAGAGAGAGAGAGAGAGAGAGAGAGAGAGAGAGAGAATATTTCTGCTGCTTGCTCAAATCCCACCCCTTGTTACAGTGTCCCATCTTGCGGTCTTGCAAATGGCACCAATTGTAGTCGTCCATCCTCGTGTGTGAAAATCCAGCCTCGTTCGCACTCCCGCTGTTGTTAAAATGACTACAAAATAGAGCTTTTGTCTTTTTTTTTCTCCCCATGTACAAGTCTCCTAATGCAATCAAAAATTTTGGGGAGGGGCCCAAGTTTTTGCTCACAAAAACACAAACAACTTCCTATATAAAAGAAGACACAAAATGCTAAAAAAGAAGTGATAACTTAGAAATTTTAGAACAAACTCTTACATTTCACATAAACGAACACTTTTATAAATAAAGACTTACAACTCTTAAAATTAAACGACTTACAAACAAAGACTCTAACAAGACACCCTAAACTTGCTTACTTTGAGAAGAGGGATACGGGTGAAGTGGTCACTTGCGGAGAGACGAAAGAGATTAGAAGCCGAGAAGAAGGGTGGAAAGATCTCGCAAGATTTCCTAGAGTAGAAGAGAAGAAGAAGTGGACAAAGCTCGCAAGCTTTTCCAACAAAACCCGCAGGTTTACATTTCCAAAAATCAATCACATAACATATTCCTAACAACCCAAAATATCTACTATTTATAGACATGAGAGGGGAATACAAATAGCCACAAAACATTATTTTAAAAGTTAATTAAATAGGGAATATGAAAAACCAACAGTCAATTCCAGGAAACAAAGCATCAAGCCACGGAAAAGCCCCCATACACTCACGGGAAACAGCCCAGCCAGGAACCGAAGAGGCAGCTGCAAGAACCAAGGAGCCAAGGCACGGAAATCCAAGAGCCAACCGTGGGACCCAAGGAGCCAAGGTACGGAAACCAAAGGAACAACAAATGGGGGAATGAATCTCAATTTATGAGCTAAAAAGGCTCTGTACTAGACATTCATGAGCTGATATCTAGTAGAGGAAAGCATTTATGAGCTTGAAACATAAGAAGATGCTCATTAATGAGCTGATTCAAGTAGAACTTACAAAATTTTTAACTCAACTTGTTTTGATCCATTCCTTGCCTACATCAGACTCCCCTTCTTGAGAACTCATCTCCCGATAAGTGGCTTTTGCTTTCTTCGGAGGAGGCAAGGACGGTGCATCCAGCTCTTGAATTTTTTTTTTCTTCAAATTTTTTGGCACTTGAGTGTAGCTGCACTTGAATCTTGAAAAGCTTGATCTGAATCGGGTCAAAAGAACTTTCTTGTGGCGAGGTCAATTGGTTTACTTTCTTGCTTGCTTTCCACTTGATGTTTATCCAACTTGACTTAGAAAGACACAAGATTTAAGACGCAAACCTAGGAAGACACAAAACAAGACTCACACACAACTATCATGACACATCTAGAACTCACAAACAAAACTTACATGACATCAAGACACACAAGATTTACAAGACTCACAAGACTTACACAATAAGACTTGACTTGACAAACCAAATTAAAATTCTAGGACTTTCTAACTTGCTCTGATACCAAATTAATGCAATCAAAAATTTTGGGGAGGGGCCCAAGTTTTTTATCACAAAAACACAAACAACTTCCTATATAAAAGAAGACACAAAATGCTTAAAAAGAAAGAGATAACTTAGAAATTTTAGAACAAACTCTTACATTTCACATAAATGAACACTTTTATAAATAAAGACTTACAACTCTTAAAATTAAACGTGATGCGGACATCGGCACGAAGATTTGGCGCATCTATCACAGGAGGCGTCGTAAATCGACGGCTCTAATTTAAATTGTCATTTATGAGTTATTTTATGAATTTTAGCTCTTATTTTATGTTATGTCCTGTTTTACCCCTATGTTAGTTTATTTGAATGTTGTGGCTCAAGGGGCAATTTTGTAATTTTTGATTTTTCTCATGTTGTGGCCCATATATAGGGCCTTAAGCTATTGTAATGATAATAAAGAATTGATATTAAAAATTGGTGTCTACACTTGTGTTCTTGTGAGAGAGCGTTAGTGAGATTCCTATGGAAATGAATCGGAGATTTCACCAGCCGCAGGAGGGGTCCGGGCTCGTGATTTGAAAGCCTCTTGGAAGAAGGGCAAAGCATCAATTCAAGTTCTTCGAAGAGTTCTGAGGCTCGCGGTTTTTATCTTCTATTTTGTCTTCTATCTCTTGTTTTTATTTTGTTCCTTTTTATTTCCCCTTCCCCATTGCCAACCTTAGTTTCCTCGTCCATCACACACCGCCGGCTCCCTAATCCGGTCCCCCCACCTTTTCCTTCTCCACCCCACGGCATACTCCCCAAACTCGAACCCATACTGCCGGCTCCACCTCATTAGCCGCCGGTCGAACCTTCCTCTCCACCCCCTTTGGATTTCCTAATTTGGTTGGGTTAATTTAGGGATTAATTTGAATTTAAATTATTCAAATTCAAATTTCAAATTCTTTCCTAATTTGGTTCATCTATTTTAGGAAAGTACTTAATTTAAATCAATTTGAATTTTAAATTCAAATTGGATTTATTTCATTACTTTCCTAACTCATTAAACCAAATTATGAAGCCTTGAATACTCTCATTAAATCCCTTCCCCTCACCATGCCGCCGGCCCCCTTGGTGGTCCCCTCTCCTTTAATGTTTCATTAAGGGACTTGATTGCATGCTTTTAAATTTTGGTAAGAGTTTCAAAATTTTAAATTCAACTAATTTGAAATTTGAATTCTTTTCTAATCTATCATTCTATTTTTGGAAAGTTATTTTAAATTCAATCAAATCAATTTATGAAATATTGGGATTTAAATCTACCTTTCCCTATTTACCTATCTCACATTAGCAGGCATTAATGATTTGTTCTAATACCTTTTCCCATTACTGCTGCCGCCCCCTCTCCCTTGGGATTTAGAATAGGAAACCTCTTCTACAACCAAGTCAGCCCCTTGGAAATTTTTTCCAAAAAAGAGATTCTTTTCCTTGGCCGAAAATTTCAAGGCCCCACTGCCATTATGCTTTACCAAATCCGGTTTCTGTTATGTCTGGAATTAATCCCGTGAGATTCAAAGCTCCAATCTTTAATTACTTCCTAATTCCCATCCCTGTTTAAGGAAGGTAATTGCAATTTCCCTTAATCTCAACCTAGCCGAGATTTCTTTTCACCCCTTGGCTCTAATTTATTTCCTAAATCTAGATAGTGGATTTATGAAATAAGAGCCCAATCCTTCTCAATCCCGCTGGCCATTTTTTTTTGTCACCCGTCTCTCCCGTCCCTCTCATAACTCCTCTCCTCCTTTACTTACCTTTGCTGGAACACCATAGCTCTTGCTGCAAGTCCTTCCTCCCCCACACATAGAGTTGGGATTCCTTTCAGATTTCTGAACGCAGAAAATCTGAAATATTTCAGAAATTGTTCTCAGATTCGGAGAAGAGTCCCTCTCCCTAGCAAAGCCTCCTACCCGTTCTACATCAGTTTGGTATCAGAGCATGGACTCGGATCGACTTGAAATGACTTTAGACTGGTTGGTAGGTCAACTGGGCGCCGTTAGTCAACATCTCAAGGAGAATCATGCGGACTTAACCAACATCCACCATCAAACAATCGAACGATTCGATCACCTAGAGCGAGGTAGGACTAACCCACCGTTTTATGCAAAAGCCCCTTCATCAAAGGATAGAGAACGGGCACTAAAAGATAGAGAGATAGTGAATAGAGTGGACAAGTGGATGGAGGCCAATGAAGCCTTCAATTTCCCACTCACTGTGCAAATCAAAGAGAAATCTAAGGTGATCAAGTAAGAACGTGAAGAAGAAGATGAATTGGTTGATTCAATTACAACTCCTACAGAAGCAAAAGTTTCTTTTGATCCCGTTAAAACTCCTACAACGGAGAAGGTTGATGAAGTTCTGGAAGTGATATCCATAGAACTCAATATTGC